GACAAAAAATGAAAGATTTAAACATATTGGACAACAATTAAAACAATATAAATACAACATGAATTACTTTTGACAAAAAGTTAAAATTAGATAACATTAACATTTGATGCACTTTTAAATTATTAGTACTGTAAGTGCGCGAGTTAAAACATTTTATGTATTACTGAGGTTAGAGGTTACGAAGTGCATTTAAAAGGTTATAGATATTTGAAAGCATTGTTAATGACCTCAAATGACCCCTCAAAATTCTCCTTGGATTGGTCCACCTGCCTTTTCATCCATTCTTGGTACTAATACCAAAACTATCAGTATTAGTATTAGTATTACTGCCACCAACAACCATTGCAATGAGTGTGACCATCTGCCGTTTGAAAACAGACTCTCAGATGCTAATTTTATGCCATGAAATATGCAAATATCATGTTAGAATCAATTGATATATTAGAAAATATTTTTAGAAAATTTTACTGAAAATAATTTAATTATAAGGCAAGCGTTTCTCCTTGATCATTTTTTCAAACAAAAAAATTGTTTTACTTTTTTTGTAGACATTAAAATATATATATATTTTGATTCTTGATTATAGTTTTATGAATTAATCTTTTAAAATGCTTTGCAAAAAATCTTTTTTATTTAAGCAAAGGTCATAAGTTGAAGAAAGGTCAATTATAAATCTTGAAGAAAGGTCAATTAACAACAAATACAAATTGATATGTCAGTAATATATATTATTTATGCAATTCTTAGATTCATTCTTTAGCATATCAAAATTAATTAATAATTTTGTATTAAAAATATTTTTTTTTTGTAATTTATAAGTAAAAAAAAATTTTTTTATAGTAAAATAAGTGATAAACAAGGAAAATGCATATGCTGTTTTATTAAAAACTTACTAATTTGCAGCTGCTTTCAAATCAAAAATGAACAAAGGGCATGAAATGATTAATCTAAGAAATGCATAAATAATCGCTGACCATTGCTTACGTCACTTAACAAAGGGTCACCTCATCATTCAGTCATCTAAACAAAGATCATTAATTAGAAATGGTCATTTGTACAGATTACTACCGTATCATTACCATATCAATGTTTCCTTTGTTTTCATTATCCTTGCAAATTACGCAAAATGCATTGGTAACTGACACGCTTTGATTCTTACAAAAGATTAATTTATGAAAAAAATGTTCTAGTAATTTTATTATGTTAATTTTGAATTTATTGTTTGCTTTATATTTTTACATTAATTTTTTGCTTAAGACTTACGGTAAGAGTTTATGAGTACTATAAATGCTTACTTTATCAAATTGCTTTAATTTTAAGTAAGTAATTTTAGGTTTTGGCGCTGTAATATTGAAATGATAACCTTTTTAAGTATCAAAGCTACTTTAAGTAATTGAAAATAATAATTTTATTCATGTATTTTACTATGTTCTAACTTTATTTAAGTATTTTATTATGTTCTCAAGTATTAATCTCAAAATATTAACTAATACTTTTAACACGTAAGTAATTCATGTGATTAAAACTATGTAGACAGTTAATATTTTTGTTAGTAAAAGAATTAATCAAGTATCCGAAGAATTCAAAAATTTTCACTTATTAATCTTTGTTTTCTAATCATTTAAATGATTAATTTCTTATATTGAGTTATTAATTTCTTTTTTAAGTCAGCAATTATTTCGGTTGATTGATCAGCATCTGAGATTATAACTAGCATCAACTGGATATTTCCAAGTATTTTGTCATTAAAATTAACACTTATAATTTAATGAAGTGTTATTTATCTGATAATTTATGGCAAATTAATGCTTCAGAAATTTGATTAGAATTTGAAATTTTTTTCAATTTTTGTTCAGAATAACTTTTACTATTTAATTGTTATGATTGATTACATTTGCTGATACGAATTGATGTGATTATGAATTTTTGATATTTAATATCAAAGTTCGATTTAAAGCATATTAAATAATATTTGACAGTTTGAATATTTACATAATCACTTAATTTTTTGAATAATTCATTTGAAAAATTCGTTCATTTTCGCGAATTCATTAAAGATTATTATAATAACTTTTACTTATTAAAAAGATTTTACATATTTTTATTATAAATAAGTAAACATTTTATAACTTTACTTTTGATACTTTTGATAAAATATCAGAAATGCATTTTAGCAAATTTGATCGAAAAAAAATCAAACGTCAAATTAAAGAAATATTAATTTTTCTTATGCTTTGTTTTTGGCCTCATAACTAATGTCAAGAAATATTAATTTGTAGCTATTATAATTAGTGAAATAAATAAAAATACAAAAATAACAACTAATTAGTGAAATAAATAACAGTATAATTAGTGAAATGCATTAAAATACGAAAAAAAAACAACAACAGAAATACAACTTATTTATAAAATATTCTAACAACGCAAATCTATTCCATTATTATCATGAAAAAAGGAAGGATTAAAAGTTGACATCAGTCATGAGGTCAAAAACAAAATGTAAGAAACAAAAATGTCATATGGTTAATTGAATATAAATAGTATTAACTGCTTAAAACAGATTGCTCATAAATCGAGAAATCTCGACAAATCTATCAAGATATATCGTAGTAAATGCCAGCAGAAATTTTATAAAATGCAATAAGCATATGGAGCATAGATTAAGCTATTGAAAATACAATACAGTGAATTAATTCTGTATGCGATTTGGATTTGTATAATTTATTGTTACTTTGATTATTTACCGCGATATTTAATCAGACCTAATTCATCTTAAATAGTACAAAATTAAAGTAAATACAAGAATTAAACTTATAAGTATTTCAAATACTAAAAGTTATTATTAATATTTTTATAGAGATATTATAAATTTTCTACCTAATAATAAGTCTTAGGTGATGTTTAGGTTAGATTTTAGAGGTATTGGTTTTTTTTAAATGATGAACTTTGAACTTTGAAAGTCATATAATTAATATAAAATTATTGTGCAATTATTTGATTGTATGACAATTATTTTTAGCTTGAACTAAATCTCACATCTTTACTTTAGCTAATTTTATTTTATCCAAAAAATGATAAATTAAAAATTAATAAAAACTTTTTTAATAAATTTTTAGATTTTACAAAGTGTGCAAAATTTTATTAGTTCATTTATTTTTAAAATACAAATCCCATCAAGTTATACATATGCAGTGCACAGCTATAATTAATAGGGATTAATTATAAAAATTATTGTTATAACAATTGCAAGTGAAAAAAAATTATTGAAAACCAAAAAAGCAGTAGTAATCAGGTTGCAAAAAATTTTGAACTTTTTTTCAATTCTTCAAAAAAATTGAAAAAAAAAGAATCAAAAATGTATTAGACATTCCTTTATAATACAATCACCAATTTTTGTTTTCTTTTTTTTGCTATTTTTCTTAAAAAACTTGAAATTTCAAAAATTTTTACACTACTTTTTTTTTAATAAATAAGGAAATAAATAAAATTGAAGCATTATACTGGTTTTTTTGAGCATACAGAAGATTGAAAAAAGTACGAAATGATTCGAAACAACAAAAATATGTAAAATAAAAAGTATTTAAAACAATATTTTTTTCTTTTTAATTTATTTAAAAAAAAAAATTTTCAAAAATTTGAATATTTTCGAAATTTTAAAAATTTTGAACACGAATTTTTTGCTTAAAATTTAAAAATTTGAAAGCAGTTTTGCATTTTTGTCTTCTTCAAATAAATTTACCGCGAATAAAATGACAGTGCATGCATGCAGATGGTAATTTTTAAACCGAAC